GGCGCGGTGTGCTGCCTCAGACAGAGAGTAATCGGTAGCGCACTTTATTTGGTTTGACCATCGGAGTGGCGGTCTTCCTCGAGTTCTTTTACCATCTACCTTGCCTTCAACCACCAACCTCTCCATGCCTTTCATTCATCTGGTAATGTGTCCAAAGTACCTCAATATATTTTGGTTAATGATTGTGGTAAGCTTAGTATGATGTCGAGTTCTGTCAATATTGAGAATTTGTGCGATGTGCTGTCCAGGGTATGCGCATCATTCTACGATATACCCACATTTCAAAGGCGTGAGTCGGGCATTTTAATGGTCCAAGTTTCTGACGCATAGGTAGCGATAGGAAAGATAAGCGTCCGTACTATGCGCAGTTTCGTATTCCTGGTTATGTCCGTATCTTTCCAGATTTTAGGAAGTTTGACCATTGCTGATCTGGCCATTGTAAGGCGTCGACGTATCTCTTCTTTGCATCCACCATTGTTTGTGATAACAGAACCTCAGTAATTGAAACGGCTTATCACTTCAAACCCCGCTAAGTTTCGTATTTCCCGGCTAGTTATTTCCACATTTAACTTTTTCAAAAGTTAGTTTTGTTAAATTTGCCATCTTCTATTGCTTTTAACACCTCTCTTCTATTTACAAAGTCATAGGCTGCTTTTTGTAGTTTATAAATATGTGATGAGTTCTCCTCCTCAATCTTCTCTCCTTCGTAAGGATGTAGTGGCGTCATGTAATTTGGTTTACTATTTCTGTCCAATTATCTCTCCCCTGTGCGTGCTGTTTTGCTTCGGAGAATGAGTAACCAGTCATCTCCTTTATTTGGTCCGACCATCGTACTGGAGATCTTCCTCTGTATCTCTTACCCGCTACGTTACCTTCAACTTTTATTCGCTCCATACCTTCTCTTCTTCTAGTTATAATGTGATGAGTATCCATGTCATATTCCAGCGTTTTTCTAAAATTTATCTCAGAGCTGCAATCTGATGAATTGTCGATTTACCACCTCTGAAACCAACCTGGTATTTTCCTACCAACCAATTCGTTCTGCATATGGTGCCATATGATGACATAATACCGTCAAAAATATTTAATACACTGCGTTTATAAGCGTAAATCCTCTGTGGGTAGAGCATTCAAAGATATCTATTTTTATGTATGGTGCAAAGTATTTCAATATTCCAATCACTAGAGAGGGATTTCTGTGTCGATATTTCTCTTTATGAGCTGCTGTAGTACCATTTTGGTATCGTGGCCATTATGTTCAGTTCAGCTGGGAGATTATCTATTCCGGGTGATTTGTTTCTGGTTAGTTTTTAATTGCATCTTCAAGAATCGTTGGTGGTTGATTAAAAGTCATGAAAAATCATTTGGTTTCATTACCTCCCATTTAATGTTTACATATAATTTTAAAGATTTTGTTTAAACAACCTTGTGTTTATCACGTACGTATTATCAGGATTTAATTTTAATCTTTTTTATTGTTGCAGCTGAATAATATTACAGTTATCTTTTTAATTAACCAACTAGTTTTGGCGGATCATAACATTGTCTGCAGTTTGGAGTAAAAATGAGTGTTCGGGGTAGGATTAGGATTAGAACATTTTATTTTTATATTGAGATAATTTCAAAACCACACATTGTTTCATATATCATTATTATTTTATATGTGTATATTGTGTGTATATTGTTACACAGTTTGCATAAATAAAATTGCATGCAATGTAATACATAAGACCCTATTAAGGATTACAAAAGAAAATAGGTTAAGACGTAATAGTACGTACTCTTCTGTACGTACTAGTATGTACCCCAGTGTACGTACTTAAAACATACATTTTACATCATGTACGTACAGTACAGTACCAAAATTGTACGTACTCAAAACGTACTGTGCTGTTTGGGGAACGTAATCATGCAAAAAAATCTCATGGGAATATTTTTCGAACGAACCCGAGCTTTTTGCCTTGTCTACATATTATACCTTTAATCTTTTAGAACCTTCAAAAAACCTGCATAAGATTTTTTAACCTTTTTTTTTACTGGTCTATCAGGAAATGATAGAGTTATGATGACATGTATATTTATTTAGTATTTTGTATGTGTATTAAAAATAATAAATAAACGTATTTTTTAGACTTGTTTGCTTTTATTTTAGGTAATACAATATTATTTACCAACAGAAAAATATCTGGTAAATATCACCAAATCGACAACAAAAACAGATGTAGGTATATCTTATTTATTATAAATAAGCAAAGAAATATTTCTGACAAAATGAATAAACAAAACAGTTTTTATACGATTAGGCCATACTAGACTCACACACTCTAATTTTTTTCTAAATGTAACCCACCAATATGCGAGCACTGCAATTCAACCTTAACAGTAAAGCATATCTTTGAATGCACCAGGTATGGTGTAGATACAAGCATGCTATTTAGGGTGGCAGTGAATAAAATTAAAATAGCTATGATGGTAACCAACGTTCTGAAAGGACATGGTACATAAAGAAGAAGATATCTTTGAATGTGACAAATTTAAACATCAACAATCTGTTTATAATATAGATTCAAACTTATCAGTTGTGCTAGGTCAAAATAGATACTCAAAGAACTTAATAGAGTATTTAAAAGCCATCAATGTGTTCCATAAGATTTGACTTTATTTTTTTTTTGTTGTACAAAATTGCTGACTTTTTTAGTACTATTTTGTAGGATTTTTTTTTTTGTAACCATGTAATATATCTATTATTGTAAAATTGTATAGATCCGTCGCTAATAACCATTAGGTGGAAGCGACTTTTTCTTTAAATAAAAAGAAACAGTTTTCAATGTTGTGTAGTGAAATTTATTATACAAGGAGCTTCCAAAATGATCTTAAGTTCACATGCAGATCATAAAATTAGGTTCACGCCGTATTTTAGAGTCATTTTAGATATTTTTGTGCGTTTCGTATATAATTTCTGTTGCAACACGATTTGCTAACTGATCGATGTAAAAAATGTTTTGGTTGTTCAAAATAGTGAAAATATACAATTTTACTTTGATATACTTTTTGTTGTAACAAAAAATGTAGCAAATCCAGTTGTAACAAAAAAGAATTTAGTAGCGCATATGCCCTTCTCTGGCAGTAATAATTCAGACCGTGAAATTCAGACCGCTCCTATGTAATCAACACCTAAACTTCGAAATACGCTACAGAATGGTCAAGTGCTACATATGGTCCATCTTGCTTTATGGCATGGAAACGTGGACTTTGAAAAAAACATCTATCAACAAACTTGAAGCATTTGAAATGTGGTCATTGAGAAGAATGATGCGCATACCTTGGGTGGATAGAGTTCGAAACGATGACGTCCTTAATAGAGCCGGCGTGGAAAGAGAACTCTTTGAATTAATTAAAAAACGCAAGATTGGTTACCTTGGGCACATATTGAGAGGAGCAAAATATAAAATACCACAGTTAATCCTACAAGGGAAGATCGAAGGTAGGAGAGGAGCCGGCCGCAAACAATTATCCTGGTTAAGGAATATTATAGAATGGACAGGAATACACAATACAGGTGAGCTGTGTCACGCCGCCAAGAACAGAATTCTAGTAATGAGATAGTCGCCTACGCACTTTGGTGTATGGCATGTTAAGAAGAAGAAGAAGAAGAAGGCAGTAATAATAACTTGCAAACGACAAGGCATATTTTGGATCGGATTCTGTGCAAGATTGTCCACATCATCTTAACATCTTACCCTAATATATTAATTGTTAATTTTATCCTTTTTTTATTCCACTCATGTATCTATGGTTCGTAAATACGGTCAGGGATTCACCGGTTTGTCTGTCCTATGTATGTACGTCGGCAACTGGAACAAGGTATCTTGTAGTCACCATGGTTTTCATTGTGGATTTGGACTTTTTGAAATTTGATCGCTGGGGTTTTGATGTTTAGAGGGTTAAGAGTTCTACTGATCTTGTCAGTGATGCTTTTAATAAAAGGTAGAAAGATTTTGGGCTGATCAGGAGGCAAGATTTCTTTTTTGGATGGAGTGGGCTTTAGATGTTTTCGAATGCTTCTATTGATTTGGCTTTTGTGGTAGCCGTTTTGTAAGAGTGTTGCCTTATTGAATTGATTTCGGACGATCTGGGATTGTTGTCGCTAAGTCTTATGGAATGGAAAACAATGTGTTGATAACTGTATGAGTAGGTTTCCAGTACATGGAATAGGAAAAACTATAAGGTGGATGTTTCTGAATAAGATTATCAAGGATAGCAAAAACACTTCAGACTCAACTTCCATCGTGAATTAAATACTGGGATGTATTCCATTCAGGTGGGAGAGGAACAGATCTAATGTGTCTTTACCATGGGGTCAAATAACAAAGATGTCATCAACGTACCGTAAACCTGCCGGCATCGTTTTATATATCGAAAGTTAGGATCTTGTAATGTTTTTCGTAATAATCCACGGATCATTTTAGGAAAATTATAGATTTCGCCCATTTTACTTTACTTTCAACCCTTATAATACTAAATAACACCAGATCTTTTTATTGTTAACCATCAACAACAATGTAATATGATAACAAGTATAAATTTGATTGTAATACTATCTTCACAGATATCGCCGTAGCATGATTGACGTCGTCATTCACGGAATGAAGAAAGTACGTACATATCACGGTGGAATTAATTTTTATTAAAATAATTTAATCCTAAAAAATAATGAAATAATGACACCGCCATAATTGTCGAATTTCCCAACAGTTCACAATTTTAAAATCAGTTCACGGAAGACGATTTCTGTTGTGTATATTTTATTGAATAACCACACCAAACATACACCTACAAGTGTATCTAATATTACCATTAGTTTTATTCCTGATTCCTAGGATATTGGTTCTGCTTCTTATTTCATAAAGTTTTACGCCATCAAAGGTATATTCAGAAATATCTAATCCAGTATTATATGAGTATAATATATGATTTATAATGTATGTAATAAGTAATACTTACCCACTACTTCCCATAGATTGATGAGACATATCGTAAACAAACTGAGGTTGTTTAATGAGACCAGCAAATGGCGGACCATTTTGACCGGTAGGTGTCGTTGGAAGTGGTAGGTGGTAAGATGGTGGAATGCCAGCAGTTGTACAGGGTTCGTCGAATCCAAGAATATAGCTGCGCGCTTTGTAAATGTTTCCTGTAGTAAATACTGTCTTTATTTATTTAATTATTAAAAAAATATGTCATGTTAATACGTTAATTTTGCGGTTATACTATTATAGAAAATTATAGTAGGAACATAGGATAATGGACCAAGACATGAAAAAATAACATATGAAACACTTGAAAATCAATGGAAATGAAAAAGAATTCAAGAAACGTTTAAGGAAAACTGTGAAAAGGAGAAAAATGTGTACTCCTAGAAAAAAAACAGTAAAAACTGGAGAGCAATTACAAAGATAAACTATAGACAAACTATAAACATAGACAAACATATATCAGACTTTTGCTGCTAACGTGAATAGTTTAGAAGTAATCCAACAACAGACTAAAGTTTTGTACATCAGTTAAAGATAAATAAATTTAAATATGTTCAGTAGGGACTTAGCCTAACTGTATGTGTGTGTGAGTGGTAAAACGTGAAAATTATTTCGGCTATAATAATACAAAAAATAGTGGTTATAAATAAAAAAAAAGACTTAGAAAGTGAACAGAAAATCACGAGTAAAACTTAGACTGAAGTGGACAATTCAATGTGCCAATGGACAGCAGGAGTGTGACGTCACGGCGGCCATATTTTGCTTTTACTCTCCAAACAAAAGTTGAAATGTCAAATTTCAAGACTTTTTAATTTCTATTAAGTTAACATTGTGATTCCTCTGCTGCTTTTTCTTTTAAGTATAGTGTTTTTACGATTATACCATCACAATTCAGTGTTCGATTTCTATGAAATATAGTTTACAAGTATAAATTAAAGAAATTCTAACCTTACTTTATTGATGCATGCATTTTATTGCTATTTTTGTAAAACAACATGCTTTATTATTTACACAACCTTGTAAAATTATTGTAGTAACTATTAGAATGCTTAAATATTGCAAAAAGCGGAAAGATTCTGTAAAAAACAATGAAAAAGTAACGAAAAATACAAATTATCCACACTAAACAACGTTTGTCTGGAAAGTGAAACTGACAGATGTCAATAAAATCTACGTCATCACTCCAGCGGTCCATTGACAGTTATCCTTAACTTTATGTGTGATAGTACCATAGACGTATATATTAACATAAATCGAGCATTCCGGCCGCGCGTACTGACGACAAGATCTCTTGCAGTTATTCAATATGTCCCTCTCTAGCGCATTTCAACTCGTCACTCTTTCTCTCGCTGTCAAAAAGAGACGCTGCTATGCTTACTTGATGTAAGACAGGAACACAACGAACAATGAAAAAAAAAAGATGGTGTCGTTACATGGTCTACAGACGGCTCAATCTACGGTAAATATGTTAATATACCTCCATGGATGGTACGATAAGATCACGAAACCTAGCTAAACGGCGTCGTTGTCGGACTGTGAGAGAAACCCGCAAGAGTACTTTCCTTTGCAAGATAATTTGGATAGAATTCCCCAGATTAAGAGACTGGGTCGATATAAAACACAAAATGACGTACTCCCTTAGTGCTGTAACGAATAGTCACCCGTAGTCTTTCGTTACATTAGGTTCAATTTTAAATTCCATCGAAAGTTTAAAGGTACTTTACTAAATGATACAAAGTATGTGTAGCCAGGTACGTATTTCAATTTTGAGTTGTTAACGATTGATAAATAAAATTTTAAGCATAATTTTGTGTACTTATTTCAATTTAATCAGTTAATTGCATTTGTACTTGGAATTGGAATACAGAGAGAGATATGAGGACAGGTCATGAGAAATATCAAAATACAACTGAAGAGAACTATGGATAGAAAATGGTATGATAGGCGATGATCATGATAATGATGATGTTCAGTAAATTTAACGCGAAAAATGTAAAACTTTTATAGCTTTCTTATAATTCGAAGTAAGAATATTCAAATAAAAATTTAAAATTCAATCTTCCAATAAAACATTTGCTAAACATATGCTAAAGTAAGTTGGTGGACAATTCAATATAATAAGATTCTCAAATGCCAAAATATTAATAACAATATTTTTACTAACCTGCATTTTTTTCGACTCCTTTGATCACGCAAGCTCTAGTATTTTGCTTCGCTTTTTGTCTGATAGTAATTGTCACATCATAATTGGTTTGAATATCTGCTATTTGGTCCTGTCTTGTTCTCAAAATTGTACTTTCTTCTGGTAAATCAAAGATGATTATCAACGGAAGACTTCCCATCAGCAATTGTCTAGCTTTGTATACATCGTTGATATTTCCCGATATGTTTACGTTACTTTTTTTTAAATTCGGAATGTTTGGGTCTTGTGCATCAGGAAACATTATCTGACAATTGGTATATTGCATTATTGCTTTAAGGTTAGAATGGTTTTTTCCGAGAACGACTTGGTGATGGTGTGGAGAGATTTCCATGGACATTTGAACCGGGATTTGATTCTAAAAAGAAACAAATATAGTAATGTATTTAGGACATATTCCGAATGAAAAAATCTCGTCAAAAATGATTTAATTAAACAAGAACAGAAAACATAAAATAATTTAAGAAACAAAAGCAAAACAGAGGAGACAAAAAATTCAAAATAAATCAAAAGCCTGTCACAAATGAGGAAAAACATTCAAAACAAGCAAAATCAGCAGAAAGTTTAAACATACAAGAACTGAAATAATCGAAAAAAAGATGAAAATAAATAGAATGTTTGGAAAAAGATATTTCCCAACAATTGAAGAAAATATCGACGAAATATGACAACGAAAACAAGAGATAATAAAAACAGTATCCATAAATGCTTTATTAACCCTAGAATGGTATCGATATTTTTTAGGTAATTATTGGTACCGTGGTGTCATATACAACACCACAGACATTTTTTAAATTTATACTAAGAAATCAAAAACCTATGTTCGGCACACAAGCAAGCTTTTTCGCGGATGCGGAAGTCTCTACCTTTTCTGTTGACAGATCGTGGGCAAACTTTACATCTTTTTTGGGTTGGAGGTTAAGTTTCTTGATTTTAGTGTACTGGCTGGCACTCTTAACCAAGAACATCCAAAATCATGGAGCGCAAAAATCTGGACAAAGTTGATATTTTTCTTCTATTTTAGTTGGGGAGTCACCAACTGTAGTGCTAAATACCTAAGAAAATCTTTCCTGGAAGTAATTTTTAAATTTGGATCTGATTTGGTTTTATTTGCGCCATAAATAACATAGGCATTAATACCTGCACCATCAAGCATGCCATAAAAAACTCTAGAGGCCACCGACGAGTTTTTCCAAACAGGGATTTAGAATGACAAAACTTATCATAAATATCTACTCCTCCTTTTGTAGAATTATAAGATAAAACAATCTCGGTGTTTGGGAAAGTATGTGCGAATTCATTTCATATTTTTACAGTTAATATTTTTTCTGTTACGGTACTGTAATGTGATCTAATTTGGTGCTGTGTTTTAAAGACCTTTTTGAAATATATTGTTTCCTGTTGTCTCGTAAAACTTAAACTGGATATCTCATTTATGATGTGAATACGGAGAATTTGGCTTCTCTTTTGTATGGTTCAAAAATATACACACAAGTGTAAAGTGTCGTGTTACTGTCACAATTAGCTAAAATTATCGGAAAGGTCGCAATACAATGGAATGATTTATTGGTACACCCTCTCGGACCACCGCTTAGAGGGTTCCTTAGCTCTGACACTAAACTCTTTGTCTTCATCTTCACGTAAACATTCAGATTCTGTATCATTTAAAGGGACATTTTTATCACTCTCACCAGCCTCTTACGCAATTTCTTCTAACTCAGCCTGAGTCAACGTTTTGCTTATTGAAGCCAGTTGCTTCTATATTCAAAATTATAACGGGCATTGTACTGTGGTGTCGTATGTAACACCGATAAATATTTTACAATAGCTATTAACATCCGATAAACAGTTTCGGTTATAGATGATTTCAACCTAAAAGAAAGTACTGAGAATCTAAGCCTCCCCTCTTTAGGAACGCAGTGTACCATTCTAGGTTTAAAGAAATAAGGATCAAAATAAATTGGAGTGATTTGATGACGGTTACAAATGACTTGTTAAGAAAAGACGGATGGTCAAATATAAGATAATACAAAAAGGAAAGAAAGAAGATAATGGATTTCTTTTAAGAAATAAGGAGTACCAACAAAGGAACACAGAACAGGTCACTTTTTATAAAAGATAAAAAAGGTGGCATGTGACACAAATTGGGTAAAATACTAAAGGTACAGCGACGAAAGAAGAAAATATGAAAGATTAAAAAAGTAAATGATGGTACCTCCTCCATTGCTAGAAAACTAAGAATATTAATATTACTCGTAATAAAATAAAAAATGTGACGCATATCTTACCGCCAGATTTTCACACATGTACTCCATAAGCAAAGTAGTAGCTTGCTTTACTTGATCTACTTCCCATTCTAGTCCTTTCACCAGTACCAAAGTTGCATGAAGTTTCGGTCTAGTTTTGAACATGACTTGTATCTTGTATTGTTCTTGAATTTTTACTATATACAAAGATGTTGCATCAATGTTTTGGGTCATAATTGGTAATTCAAATCCAAAAATTAAAGGTATAAGTTCCTGTAAATAAAAAAAAAATATTAAATTAAAGGGTTTTTTAATTTTAATTTGTGTGTGTAATTTGTTAAAAATTAATGTCAATTGTATTTTACTTGGTGATTTTAATTTGGATTTTTTAAGGTACTATTTTCTACACCCAGAAAATTAAAGCAATGTTTTTACAATTAATTACTATTTAAATGGGAATAAACCACAATTAAAGTTTAAAGTACGTTTATTGACGTTTCAATTTCCACTTCGGAAATCGTTCTCAAAATACAAACATTAGTGTTTGTATTACTCTTATAATACTCCTTTGATATTCCTCCCAAAAAATTGATGCCTTTAAGATGTGGTGCTGGAGAAGAATGCTGCGCATACCTTGGACAGCTCATGTGACAAACGTTTCCATTCTAAACCAACTTGAGATTACAAAAGGCTGTCCACAATATGTCCACAACCTGAAGGTGTAACACCATCGTATAGCTGGGATGCATGGCTTAAGGGGAAAAGTGGGTCTCAAGCCAAGAAGGCATATCAGAGAGGAGTAAAGACTTGGCGGGGCATAGGTGAAATGTCCCGCTAGACTGTAGAACCGACCCAATTTGTGGAAAGAAAAAATTTAATAAAAAAGAAGATAAATATAGGGATATGAAAGTTTATAGAGTATACAGACAAAAAAAGGCCAGGATCAATACCTGAGGATGTGAAAAATAACGAGGCAAAAGAGAAGAACAAAAGTAAAAACAAGGATATGGCTGAAAGAATGCAGGGAAAAGCAGCGGAAAAGAAACGGGAGATAGTATTGATGAGGGTGAATGGGCAACCAATATTAACTGAAGAAAGAAAAGGAAATCACATGGAAAGCAAGACATAAGAGCTGATGGAAATAAGAATGAATACAAAATCAATCTAACAAGAAGTAAAACAGAGAAAGGAATCTCAAAAATGAAAGATTGCTTCGACAAGTTAGTAAACTTAGCAAAGGCGGTGGCAAATAAAAAAAATGATATTAAACAGGGAGAGACAAATAAACATTAAGATAGATCATGCGTAGTGCTATAGGAACAAAGAGCACCTACTAGTAAAATAGATGAAAGGTATGGAAACTAAATAAGAAAATGGGGGATGCGGAAATCATCCAGATAATAATGAAAATCCTAAACACAGAATGGCCAGAGGGGGCTTATAAAAAGTTAACTATCTGCGAGAATGGAAGTTTAGAGGCATAGGACGATGTAGCAATTCTGGTAAAAGAGGACGCCGTTAAGGCTAGAGTGAAGGGAGAATTTCATGAAGAGTACTCAAATTACCTCCCCAAGAGGACATCAAAAAACAATATGCACAAGATTAAACAAAGAAAAGAAGAAGAACCAATGGCTATTAAATTTCTGGTCGCAGTCAGAAAGCTATGATATCGTATGGAATAACTGAGCAGAAGAAGTAATGCCAGAAGCACTAGGAGTAGATAAAGCAAGAAAAGGGCTAGAGTTAGTAGCAAAAGTGAAGAAGGTGACTGTAAATATACACAGCAAAACATGTAAAGGCAACTAGTAGTCAGCAATGAGAAAAGTACAATAATCATTAAAAAAACCAAAGGGAAAAAGCTGCACGCAACTCTTAATGAGTTAAGGGAAGAGGTAGGAGACTGAAATGATATTTTTATAGACGAAGTTAAGTAAACTAAAAAGAAGGGGTTGTTCTGAAATTAGGGAGAGCGAAAAAATTGCGGAGCGTCAAGAATTTTCGTTCAAGTTGCGCAACAAAAGTGGTGGCAAAAGGTATAAGAGTAAAGAAGTTGCTGCTTTCTGACATATATGCTCTAACCACAAAAAAAGACCATCGAATTGGTGGAGAAGTTCCATATTCTTTTTGAAATCCAATACTGTTTTCTCTTGTATGGTAAATAATTATTCTTCATTGAAAATTCCTTTTAAAATATGAGCACTTACAAATCTGTAGCTAAGATAAAAAAAACTTTCACAAGGTGTACAAATTTATAGAAACTGAGAAAAACAATTCCTCCTAGTCATCTACTATAGTATAACCAAAGCTTGCATATTTAATGTCACTGCTAAATAAATGTATTAATTTTATGAAACCTTGATTCAGTTATTACATTTTGGCTAGTAAAAACATTGAGACCATATTTTTAACCTGATCTTTTTTGTTCGTTGTCGACAAAAAGATACGTGCAGAGATATTTTCAAGACCATAAAAGGTAAGCAAAAAATCAACTCTAACGGTAAAAGTTATTTGACTATTCTTTGATAGGCAGGGAAGTTTCCCCTGTTTTACTGTAATGAATTGCTACTGCCTTTTGCTCCAGTGCTTTTATTGTCCGTTCTTTGTACCGAAAATATAACTTTCCCACTCCGTAAAAGGATGACATATTGAGGTTAGGGAGCTCTTTTCGAGGTTCAGAATCTATTGAGAAGGTTTATAAAATCCCTTTGTCTGAAGGTTTGCTTCCCCAGACTGTCCATAGATTTGTCCGGAGCCTATGGTTACTTAACCTTAGTCTATTAAGGATCCTTTTGAACTCAAGACGTTCTCCATCTTCATCCTGTACAAAGACAGTGCATAAGTGCAGCTTACCAAAGCTTTGAGATATGCATTCTTTCTCAGAGAGAAAGCCCTGGAGAATCAGCTCCTTTAACCACCTATCACAAAAGACGAAACATAAAAAATGCTGAAGGCTAGCTATATTAAAACGTAAACACAACGGCAATGCTGATAAAGAATAGTATCAGTTGACCGTTACAATTTCTTCATATAAGTTATCATTTTTTATTATATTTACTTACCCTTACTCTGCTTCTTGCACTTTCTACTCCATTTATATCCCCAGATATTGAAACTTGATTGCTTTTTTCAGTAGGATTTGAACGATTGGAATCTGGAAAGTGAACGTGACATTGCGTTTCTTCCATGACTCGTTTAATACTTAAACCTCCTTTTCCAATAATATGGGAATGATCAGTATAGCTTACGTCCATTTTCATTGTTATTCTGTTACACTAAAATGTTTTACATAATAATTTGAAAAGTAATAAAATTGAAAGTTCAATATATATATATATATATATATATATATATATATATATAATATATATATATATATATATATATATATTGTTGTACTTTTGAATGTCCATAAGCAATAAAAAACCGATATACAAATTTTATTACTTAAATAAAAATTAAAATTATTGATATTTCATAAAGACACGGGCATATAAATTTTCAAACATCCTGTATAAGACAAAATATGTATTTTAAGTTGTTCAAAGAATTGTTCATTAGGCCTCAGAGACAAGACTTTCAAATATTATCGATAAGAAATTTAAATAAGTCGGTTATTGTGGAATGGATTTACCCGTAATAAAAGTGTATATAGAAAGTGTTTAAACAATAGAAAGGGATGTGCGGTGGTTTTTCCCCCCGAAAGATTATATCGGTAAAAGTTTATTAACAAAAGACATTGAATTGAGAAACAGGTATCGTTTGTAGCTATTAGTAAGAAATATTTGTAAAGCAGATAGATTTAGCTAGAATAATTAAAGAATGTTGTTTTCTGGAATTACCCGAATGACGTTTTATAGAGAGAGTTGGTTGGTAACGATATACGTGACAGAGGTAGAAGATTTTTATTGGTCAATTTTTGAATGCAAGGAGGGAGTGGTTTTAGCTATGAGATAGGAGAGAGGAAAGGAGTTAGTCAGTTTTCGTCGCCCAAGAAGGAAGGAGCTTTGTGGTTTGTGTTTGTTTGAAGTCCCGAAGACGTAATTTACCGGGTGTGTTTATTTGCTGTGTAAAAGCTGATCAGTGTGAGGAACGGGGTACAGAGAGATAGAAAAACCAAAAGGTTATAAGAATATTAATATCAGACGAAGCCGGAAACATTTGAAGTTATAAACAGGCGCGGAGATTGGTTCAAAAGGAGGCTGCATAGAATTACACGAGTTGTTGGGTTGCAGATACAAGGACAGATAGGAGAAAGGTGTACGTCTTCTGGACCAAAATAGGAGCAGAAGCAGAGAAAGGTTTTTTTTTATGGCGTGGCCATAGAATTGCAACGGCAGATAACGAAAGGTCAGTCAAATTTTCATTAGAGCAGGAGTGTGGTTTTCATTTATAAATTAAATAAATTGAATAAATAATAGAGACAGTTAATTTTGCGATCATTTAAAAAAAAATTATAAAGAGAGCTTAGTTATAACACATATTAAAAATCAATGTAAAATAACATTTGGGTCCATGATAGAAAACAACTTCTCATATATTTAAAGTATTGTATTGCAAATATTACCGGATTGATTGTTATATAAAATTTCAATAAAATAAAGGACATCTCACATATACTTCAGTTGAAATTCTGTGTATTTTATTCAGGTCATATTACCTATCCCAATTAGGAAGCCAATTGGAAAATATTTTGAATCCACGATCAAAGGTAAATAGTACAAGTTAAATAGCCTGAGATTGTAATTAATTAATGCTGATTTATTGTGATTAATTGGAGATTAGATCATTTAATAAATATAGACAGGATCTTTTCTAAATAAGCAATAGAATACAATTTAAATAGCATAACAAAATGGCCCCCAACGTGTAAAGCTTTGAAAAATATTTCTAGTTGGCAAATTTAAAAGGATAGGAGTAGACGAGCAGATATTTGAAAGTTTATATGCCGTGGATAAAGTGAAATATTATGTAAAATTTGAGGACATAAAGATTTATATATTTTTTTAAGATACAATTTACCATAATTGATTAATTCGTGATATTGACAATTTATAGGTTACCATAATTGATTTATTTGTGTGATATTTACATTTGATAATTTTACCATACTTGATTTATTTGATTGATTTTGAGATTTGATATTTTACAATTTGATTTATTTGTGGGATATTGAAATTGGATACTCGTACTCAAGAGTTATTACATTTGAACAAGAAAAGTCCCGTTTGTTGCAACAGACCAGTAGAATTTTATATTTGGCGGGGATAAAAACATAATAAAGGCCAAACACAAGAAACAAGAGCAAAGAGAACAAAAAAAACAAGAAGATAAATCAGAACAAGAAGAATATTCAGACCAGGAAGACGTATTAGACACAACAGTAATGGAGACAGAAAAACAAGAATCGGGAATAGAAAAATTATTAGCAATGATGCAATTACAGACACAACAAATACAAGAGAACCAAAAAGAAACATTACTAAAAATCGAAGAAAACCAACGGAAAACAAGACAAGCAATAGAACAGAAATTAGAAGAAAATGATAGAAAAATGGAAAAGCGTTTGGACAAATATGAAAATGAAGTAAAAGTCTGTTTAGAAAAAGTTAGTGAAACAGAGAGGAAACTAGAGATGCAGAGAGAAGAAATGGAAACTAAAATGAAGGATATTAAGGCTGTCCAGAAAAAGGAACTGGAACAGTTAGAAGAAAAATTTGAAATGGCGTTACTAGAAGTCAGGAAAGAAATGGAAAGGAAACTTAAGCAAAATGAAAAACAAATTGCAGAGATGGAGATAAGAGGAGTAGAAAGAAAGGAAGTTATCGTACATAGCACAGAAGACGTTAAAGTACGATTTGGCGGGGATATAAGGAAACTACACCCAGTGCCTTTTATAAATAACCTAAAGAAAAAAGTCACATACATAGGACCGTTTGCAACAGCAAAGGAAACCATCCGAAACCATCTCAAAGAAGAGGCAAATCTTTGGTTTGTCAGCAAGGAAGAAGAATTTGACAATTGGCAAGATTTTGAGAGAAGATTCTTAAATTATTTCTGGGGAAAAATCCAGCAACTACAAGTAAATAAAGAGTTACAAAATGGAAAATACCATAAGAGGATGGGCGTATCAGAAAAGATGTACGCATTACAACTCTATAATAATGCAAAACATTTGCAATATAATTATTCATCAGAACAATTGGTAGAGTTGATATCGCGACACTTTGAAGATACCTTGGAAGACCACATAAATCTCCAAAATTACAAGGACATTGACAGCTTATGTCAATTTTTGCAAATGAGAGAATCACGTAGGCATGAAAGAAGAGAAAGAAGACCGCAAGAAAATTATAGACAAAGAGAAAACCAAGAATATAGAGATAGAGGTCAAAATTTTAGAAGAGATTATCCAAGACGAGAATTCATACCTAGACGGGGATACGAAAATAGACCGAACGGAAGAGAGAATTATGAACCTAGAACCCAGAGATGGAATGAAAACAGGGATCGGGAAAATCAGAGTAGAAATAACCGCCCATACCAAGGAAACAGATACAATAACCCACGGAATGAACAGGAATCTCGCGGTAACCGATACGGGAATAATAGACCAAAAGAGAACAGAAGAGAAATAAATAATATGCAAAGAGAAGAAAATGAATATGAGAGAGAAGATGACGGGCGAGAAAACACAGAAGAACAACAGGCGTGTTTTCAAGAAGGCGCTCACTAAAAACGAAGAAACAAACAGGAATTTTTTGTCACCCCAAGGAATTTATTAAACTGGCAGGAAACAATGAAAAGAGAAATGGAGTTAATTTAAAATTTGTGGATGGATTTATAAATGAGAAACCAATTAAAATTATGATAGACACAGGCTCTGAAATAACACTGGTCAACAGAAAATTAATCGAAGAAGTAAATTTAACAAGTCTAATTTATAAAATACCTAGGGTGAATTTAGTGGGCGCAAATAAACGGACATTGGCAACAATAAATGAAGGTATACGAGTAATGGTACGATTGAAAAAAAATATGTATGCACTTCAATGTGTAATAATGCCGAATATGTCACATGACATGATTGTAGGCGTTGACGAATTAACGGAAAAACATGTAGTGATCGACTTCAAAACCAATACGATGAAAATAACAAAGGAAAAAGAAGAAGAACAGGATAAGGAACAAGAGAAACAAATTACGGACGAATCAGAGAAAGAACAAACGGTGGAAATGAACCTGGTGACGAAGAAAGGAAAAGGAAGAAAGAGGGGAAAAGGTCAGAAAAAGATCAAAGAAAAAAAAACCTGGGATTCCTCAAAAGATGAGATGAGCTCAGGAGAAGAAGATGGAAAGATTTTGACAAGAAATGAAAGCAAAACTTGGGATTCCTCAAAAGAAGAGACGAGCCCAACAGAAGAAGAAACAAAGGAAATGAAAGAAAAGGAAAAGGATTCAGTTGAAAAGAACATATGGGTTTCCTCAAAAGAAGAGACGAGCCCAACAGAAAAAAAAAACAAAGGAAAATGAAGAGGACACAATGGAGACAGTGGTGTTTGAAAAAGACACGGAGTACACGGTGAATATGTGCGAAAAATTTGATGGGAGAGACAAAAAATTGATATGTGGAGAAGGCAAAGAAAATGATTTGCGTAAAATTTTAAGAGACTATGAAACGCTGATAAATAAGGAAAACCGAGTGGCCACAAAATACGAAGCATAAGTACAGATAGCATACAGGAAGTGCGTTTTAGTTTGCCTCGAGAAAATTTAGTTGCATAGATTGATAAATTTTATCGATTGCAAAGGCGGGGATTTGTTGTACTTTTGAATGTCCATAAGCAATAAAAAACCGATATACAAATTTTATTACTTAAATAAAAATTAAAATTATTGATATTTCATAAAGACACGGGCATATAAATTTTCAAACATCCTGTATAAGACAAAATATGTATTTTAAGTTGTTCAAAGAATTGTTCATTAGGCCTCAGAGACAAGACTTTCAAATATTATCGATAAGAAATTTAAATAAGTCGGTTATTGTGGAATGGATTTACCCGTAATAAAAGTGTATATAGAAAGTGTTTAAACAATAGAAAGGGATGTGCGGTGGTTTTTCCCCCCGAAAGATTATATCGGTAAAAGTTTATTAACAAAAGACATTGAATTGAGAAACAGGTATCGTTTGTAGCTATTAGTAAGAAATATTTGTAAAGCAGATAGATTTAGCTAGAATAATTAAAGAATGTTGTTTTCTGGAATTACCCGA